TTTGCTCCCAGTTTTTAAAAATTTTTCGATTTTTAGAATTTTTAATTTCTATTTAAATTTTTACACAAATAGAGTCACAGCATTCGTGCAATCATACGCGTACATAGGGTAATAATGCCTATCTCATTACACCATTTTTTCTACCCTATGACCCCCGCCCCTCCCCTCACTCCCCTCTGCCCAATCCAAAGTTCCTCCATTCTACCCCCAGACCCCAATTATGGATCAACATACACTTCTCAGAGAAAACATTTTGGCCTTTTGTTTTTTTGGGACTTGCTTACTTCACCCCAGTTGTGAAACGTGGCCACAGTGCCAAGCACATAGCAGTGGGCAGACACCTTCAAGTAGGTGGATAGTGGCCATAAGACCTCTGAGCATAACAAGGACAGCTTTAGGCCCAGAGTTCCCATGGTCAGGGCTGCCCAGGTGAAGCCCAGAAACACCTGTTTGTATAGTCATTGTGCTAATTTTGTCATAGTTATTCTTTGCTTCTACCCTGGCTGAGGTTCTTAAGCTTCTGTTTCTTTCCAGGTAGATCTAGGCAGGATCTCACTGAAAGGAAGGGGGGAAAAAAGCTGTGTGTGTATTTAAGAGTTATAATTTGGCCCACAGGTTCATAACAATAAACATATCTATGTGAAATTATTTTATATTGAATTATTTATAATTTGAATTATTATTTGATATTATTTATACTTTATGATTACTTTATATCAAATATATATTTCATAATTCTAAATTAAGTTAGTAAATTTTTTTTCATCTAAAACTTCCAGTATGAAACTAAAACTCTTCAATAATATGTTTATTTAGAGTTTTCAAATACAGTTTAGTCTCCATTAGCTATGGTAACTGATTGCTGGGCAGTAAGAGGAAAAAGGAGATCATGGTGATCCTTAAATCTAGCTTAGGTTTAATTTAAAATAGCATTAGTCAAAGATATACTGAATGGACTCCATTCAAATTTTATTTGTTTTATTACACTCAATATTTAGGACTTCTTTTTTTCCCCTAAATATACCACCCCAAAATATAAAAATAATTGAAGTACTATAATGAGAATGTATTATTGTTTACATTCTTGGTGAAAGATAGCTCAAATATGGTAATTTGTTGAAAGAGCTTGTTATTATTTTTTAATTGTTAGCTGAGTTCTTTTTTTTTTTTTTTTGCTTTTTGTTTTTTGGTACTGGGGCACTGAACTACATCCCCAGCCCTTTTTATTTTTTATTTTGAGATAGGATCTTGCTAAGTTATTTAGAGCCTTGCTAAGTTGATGAGGCTGGCCTGCTATTTGCAATCCTCCTGCTTTAGCCTCCCCAGTCAGTGAGATTACAGGCATGCACCACCGTGCCCAGGTGTTAGCTGAGTTCTAAAGGAGGGAAGATGGAATCTAGTAAGAAAGAAGGCATTCTAGCTACAGGTTTCCTTCTCTCTTTCTTGCCTAAATCCCCTGCATTTAAGTCCTGAGTTCTCTCTTCTGACTTCTAAAAGACAAGAGTATCCCCTTAACCTACTGGACTCTTGTCATATATACTCCCTTTTGTGTGGGGCTGTTAGCAGAAGCACAGGGGCCAGCTTCTTTGGGGTTGTACCTCAGCTTGCTAATAGCAAGGGATGGTCCTTCATTTCAGGGGACCCAGTTTCAGTTCATAAAACAGTACAAAATGATAGATGCATGTAATTTTATATTTGTTGAGTAGCAGTATTTTTTAATTTAAATTTTTATTTTTATCAAATTAATCTTGTATATAATTTAAAGAGTAAAACAGTAGGTAGGCTTATGAAAAACATAGGCTTCATACCCCCATTGTTCTCCACTTTCGGTTTCCATTCCTCTGAGGTAACTACTTTTAACTCTTATTGATGTTTGCTTTGATATTTAACTTTATATTTCTATATAACATGAATATTCTTCCATATTTTCAATTTTCACCTTTAGATATAATATACTAGCCTCTACTTATTTATTTCTATTGCATGCTTTTCCCACACAACATCCACTCATTCCTTCCCTTTATCTATTCTTTTGGGTTCAGCATACTTTATTTTTTTCTACAGCTTTTTTTATAACTGATCTTAATTTTTCTTTATAGCACATTTTAGTATATTTTTTGTTGTTTATGGTCTGTCTTACATGGAGGGGAATTTTATTGTGTTCATTGCTGTCTCCCAATGCCTTGGATAGTGCCTGGTATAAAGGAGCTGCTAAATGAAGATTTGATGAATCAACAAATGAAAAAATAGTTAATAATTGCCTCATAAATCAGATAAGCTTATTGTGATTAACTTATGCTTAGCTAGTATGATGACTTTATGGAATTAGCCAAGTAAGTTATGAAATTCTGCCAGAACTGAAAAATCTCTCATTATGTTCTTTTAAGTCAAGAATTTCATTATTCTTTTCTAAGAGGCATCCTTTTTTTCCTAAGATGCTTCTTCTGTCTTCCATGCTAAAGAAATTATTTTTTAGATTTTCTGTACATAGTCATCCCCTTGGATGTCGTTTAACATCATCCTTGGGATTCCTTCTACTTCTCTTCTATCTTGAATCACTTTTTTATTAATCTGTTGCTTTTTTCTTTTGATTTATTCCATTGTAAAGTAGCTTCTTAAAAGTTATATGTCAGAGGACAATTTAAAACTTGCATTCTGAAAATGTTTTTTTGATCTCCACACTTTTTTCCTGGTTCACGTAGCTGTTCATTCAGTCCTAGAATCTGGGAAGACATTTGATTCCTAACCTTTGTATGTGGTCTGTGGTTTTCTCTGTATCCCCAAGTTTGAAGTCATAGGCAAATATAATAAATGGTTCAATAATTTATTTTATAATTTCAATATTATTATGGTAAAATAATAACATATATGTTTTTCCATACTGTGTGGACACTGTAGAATCTTTTCTTTGTTTTGAAATTTTGTGATGATGTGCCTGGCATGAATTGCTTTTCATTATTTTTCAGGGCAGTTTTTGAGCTCTTTCAACTTTTAATTTGTAAGAAATTCCTTTCTGGGGAATTTTGTTTTATATTATTGCTTTGTTGATTTCTTCCTTTATATTTTCTACACTCTCTTTTTGGAACTTCCATTATTTATATGTTGGGATTCCTGGATTGATTTTCTGATCTTTTCTCTACTTCAATTCATTTTTATTGTTTTGTCCAACTTTCTGATAGATTTACATAACTGTAGTATTCAATCCTTCTATATATGTTTATTTTAACTTTAGCTATTTTATATTGGAATATCCTTGATCCATAAGAGAATGTACAAAGGTTGACACTATAATTGTCTCTGTTCTATTCTGGAGAAAGAAAATGATTGTTCAGACAGAATAAGGCTGGGTGTATCAGTGAAAAAAATTCATTCTCTCTCTCTCTCTCTCTCTCTCTCTCTCTCTCTCTATATATATATATATATATATATATATATACACACATATATATCCTTGTTTAACTAGCCTGAATTCAATGTGGATTTGGTTATATTGATTCATATTATCTTCTGCATTATAGCTTAAAAATCAGAGGAGATAGTTCTACTACATTTATCAGGAAGGTCTCAGATTAAAAATAGTGACACAACTTGGTAGGCTGAGGCAGGAAGACCACAAGTTCATCCAGTCTTATCAATTTAGTAAGGCCCTCAACAATTTAGTGAGACCCTGTCTCAAAATAAAAAATAAAAGGGTTAGGGATGTGGCTCAGTGGTTTAGTGTCCCTGGGTTTAATCCCCAGTACCTCCAAAAATAGTGACAACAATTTAATTTGAATTAAAATTATTCATTTGAGGATTATCTCAGTAAATTTTAAACAACAATACTTCCAAGCTGCTTTTCACTATATGTCCATACAAGAATGTAAACATAGTTTAATACCAGCCAGAGCTATGGGATGTGGCACATGTCTGTAAATTCCAGCAACTCAAGAGCCTAAGGCAGGAGGATTGTAAATTCAAAGCCAGCCACAACAATTTACTGAGACTGTCTCAAACAACAACAACAAAAAGAAACCATCCTGAGCAATATTTAAATAGGAAGGAGATTTTTTGAAAAGAAGTTCATTTGTCTTCAAAGTGAATATTAATGTTTTTATCATTATTCCTTTCGGATTTTAATGCTATCACCTGGTTCTACCTGTGTGGACATTCAGAAATAAGACATTTGTTTCATTTCTCTTTAGTACCCTAATTTTAAAATGATTTGTTAGGACTGTTTTCTCAGTCTTGAGGCTGAATCTGAGCCAACTAAACTGTGGTAGGTAGATTTTGTTCATCAAAAATCATGGTGAGTTGGGCCAGGCACGGTGTGGCACATGCCTGTAATCCCAGTAGCTCTGGAAGGTGAGGCTGGAGGATAGTGAGTTCATGGCCAGCCTCAGCAACTTATCAAGGTCCTGAGCAATTTAGTGAGCTCCTGTCTCAAAATAAAATAAAAAAAGGGTTGTGGATGTGGCTCAGTGGTTAAGTATCCCTTGGTTCAATCTCTGGTACCCCTTCCCACCCCCCACCCCCCAAAAAAATTGAGTTGGGCATGTGGTGCTCAACTATATATGCTGAAGCAGGAGAATGCAAGTTTGAGTTTAGTCTTAGCCACTTAGAACCTGTTTCATAATAAAAAATAAAAAAATGGCTGGAAATGTAGCCTCAGTGGTAGAGCGTTTGCCCAGTATGTGTGAGGCCCTTGGCTTAATTCTCAGTGCCACCAAAACAAAACAAAAAACCCCTAAAACCACATCAACCAAATCTACTTGCTTATAACCTTAGACATAGCACAAATACCTACTATCAAAGGGGAAGTATTACTCCTTTAAAGTTTGTCATTTAAGAATGTGCAGTCCTTTTAATTTGAAAAAAAAGAAAGGGAAGGTGGGCTTTAAAAAGCCTTTTGGCTTGAAAACATGATATATAGTACTTCATCAGCCACTTGTGTTAAAGGTGTATAATAGCAGTTGATGAAAGCATATTAAAAACCAGCTCTGACATTTTCAACTTTTCAGATTAGAGAGAGAATATTTCTCCAGAACCAAGACACTAAATGAAGAGATTGAGGAACAGAAGAAAGTAATTATAGACCTTTCAAAGAGACTCCAGTATAATGAAAAAAGTTGCAGTGAATTACAGGAAGAACTTGTAATGGTAAGGATATAAAAGAAAACCCTATGGCAGTTACTTTATTGGGTCATATTTGATGTATAGCAGGTTCTCCCCACCCTCACTACATACCCTGGGATAATAGTATGAGAGTAATTTTAGTGACATTGATAAGAAATTTCAAAACTGGAAATGCTTATTACATCAAAGATACACATAATAAAACCTCTCTGATTTGGAATAATTGGGGATTCTAACTGAATTAGTAAAAATTTTGAGTCAAAGAATATTTTAAAATATATTTAGGGTTTTTTCATTTTTACTTGAAGTAACTAAAACAGTATTACCTAGGCAGAGGAGTAGCTGGGTTCATGATCAGTAAATCTGATTTTAAAGACCTCCTTTTATAATCATTTTATACCTGATCATTCTGTCTCCTTGATCTGTTCTTATCAGCGTCCCTTTTACTAAAAATTAATCAATGTCTTCTGCTGCTTTCAGAATGATATCTTGTTATAGAATCGAAGGCCTTTTTCCCTTTGGCTTCATGTTAACTCTTCTAGCTGCTGCTTTTGTGTTGGCCCTTTATCTGTCTTAGTTCAGTCAATCAGAGTGCTTCTAGCTTTTTAAAGATTTTCATATCTTACATTTATTCAGGCTGTAATTATTTTGACACACGTTGACTAAAATGTTCTTTCTTTTCCATTAACAAATACATCTAATAATGCTCAAGCTCTGACATCTTGTAATCTGTGAAATTTTTCTGTTTTTCTTAATGCACCCATCTAAGTCAGAATTCTGTCCTTCCCCAACTATTTCTTTAGTACTCATTTATCATCTTTATTATAATACTCACCAAACTCTGATATGTATTATTTCTTCCCAGAGACTCAATGCAGTGAGATTAACTTACTTATCCTGATTTTACTATAGTACTTACTTCAATAAATGTTTGTTTAATTAATTTATTTTGTTGATGCAAAATGCTCCCAACTCTGCAATTTGCTGGGATCCTCAGCAGGGAGGACATTAAAATTTATATTAGTACCTAATACCTCTTTGTCTTATTCTCCACAGAGACTCAGCTACTTCACTTTCAATTATATCCCACAACTCTAAATGATTTCAATTATTGAGGAAAATGAACATTATTTTTTCTTCTCAAAAGAGGTGGAAACTCTGGGTTATACTAAGTGGCCAAATCAGTGCTGCTCAGATAGAAAGTTAGTGATGAGATTAAGTTAAAATTTAAACATTTTTACATGGTCCAGTAGTATATATAGTCTCCATTCATCTTAAGATGTTCAGTGTGTTTGCACTCTGGGATTGATATGTTTCTACTCTGTGGTTTGTTCAGTTATAGTTGGAGTATTTTCAATGTGGAATTTTAGAAAGTTAAGAGCTCTTTGTAGTGTACTCTAGTGTGTAGTCACTGTTATGCGTTACTCTAAACTTCATGGGTTGCCCTGTTTATTTATTTTTTCCCTCTCTTTGCATGCAGAAGATTGAACCTAGGGTCTTGTGCATGCTAGGCAAGTACTCTTATCACTGAGTGACATCTCCAGCTCCTATCCTACTTCTTAACAAGAGGATGAATCAATGGTGGAGACAAATATGTTAGGCATATTGAGTTGAATACTGAATTTGGTCAGCTTGCTTATTAGACATCATTGATAATAGTTTGGAAAGTTTCCTAGAATTACAACTAAGAGTGCAAAAATTAAGAGTCATCACCAATAAAAGTTGAATGAGTTTTCTTAATTCTGCCTTTTTAGAACTCTAGCGAGTGGATGAGACTGTTTTAATTTACCAGAGTTGTATGGGTGTTTTGTGACTAAAATGTTTTACTTGGTGCCAACAGATTGCTTTTTTTTTTTTTGGTGGACACAACATCTTTATTTTATTTTTTTTATGTGGTGCTGAGGATCGAACCCAGCACCCCGTGCATGCCAGGAGAGCGCACTACCGCTTGAGCCACATCCCCAGCTCAGCTTTTCTTTCTTTTTTTTTTTTTTAATGTTTTTTTAGTTGTCAATGTACTTTTATTTAATTTATTTATATGTGGTGCTGAGAACTGAACCCAATGCTTTGCTCATGCTAGGCAAGGGCTCTACCACTGAGCCACAACCCCAGTTCCTAGCTTTCTATTTTTACTTTTTGTGTTTGATGCAGATTAGAATTGCTGTTATTTGCCTACCTGTAATCCCAGCAGTTTGGGAGGCTGAGATAGGAAGATTGTGAATTCAAAAGCAGGCTGAGCAACAGCAGGTGCTCAGAAACTCAGTAAGACCCTGTCTCTAATAAAATACAAAATTGAGCTGGGGATGTGGCTCAGTGGTTGAGTGCTTCTGAGTTCAATCCCTGGTACAAAAAAAAAAAAAAAGAAAAGAAAAGAAAAAGAAAAATTGCTGTTATATTTTGATCATAAAATGAAATTTAAAAAGCATTTAGAAAATTTATTGACTACAAATACTGTTACTTTAGTAAGTATGATGTTTATTTTTTCTTAAAAATTAATTACTTTTTTTAAGTACATTTTTAAGTACATTTTTTCATATACATATATAGATGTATATGAAAGGCTATAGATTAGTGGTCTTTATGGGAAAAGATTTTAAAAATTTATTATGTTTTTTAGAAACTCATATTTATTTTTCATAATCTTAGTTCCATTTTGCTTTAGTGTCTGCAGAAGAACAGCTCAGGACCACTCTGGTTGTTCCTACCCACTCAGTGGCTTGAGCAGTGGGATGCAGACTAGTCTTCAGTGGCTGGCTGGGCACTGTAATCTTCAGTGATCTTCAGGGATCTTCTAGGATCTTCAGGGATCTGCTGTATAGGCACAGAGAGCACCTGCATTACTTCCAGTATAGTCTGTGAACTCAGTTTGAGTAGTAGTCCATTAAAGTTTTATTTTTTTAAAATTTATTTATTTATTCTAATTTGTTACATATGACAGCAGAATGCATTTCAATTCATAGTACACATTTAGAGCAAAATTTTTCATGTCTCTGGTTGTACAAAGAAGTAGAGTCACACTATTAGTGTCTTCATACATGTAATTGGGTAATGATGTCCATGTGATTCCACTATCTTTCCTACTCCCCTGCCCCCTCCCTTACCCTTCCTCCCCTTGGCCCTATCTAAAGTTCCTCCATTTCTCCCATGCTCCCCCGCCCCACTCCAACCATTATGATCCAGCATCCTAATATCAGAGAAAACATTTGACATTTGATTTTTTGGGATTCGTTAACTTCACTCACTTAGCATAATATTCCCCAACTCTATCCATTTATCTGCAAATGTCATGATTTTATTCTCTTTTAATGCTGAGTAATATTCCATTGTGTATATGTACCACAGTTTTTTTTTTATCCATTCATCTACTTAAGGGCATCTGGGTTGGTTCCACAGTTTAGCTATTGTGAATTGTGCTGCTATCAACATTGATGTGGTGGTGTCCCTGTAGTATGGTGTTTTTAAGTCCTTTGGGTATAAACCGAGGAGTGGGATAGCTGGGTCAAATGTTGGTTCTATTCCAAATTTTCCAAGGAATCTCCACACTGCTTTCCAGATTGGCTGCACCAATTTGCAGTCCCACCAGGAATGTATGAGTGTGCCTTTTCCCCCACGTCCTTGCCAACATTTATTGTTGTTTGTATTCTTGATAGCTGCCATTCTGACTGGAGTGAGATGAAATCTTAAAATAGTTTTGATTTGCATTTCTCTTATTGCTAGAGATGTTGAACAGTTTTTTCATAAGTGTGTTGATTGATTGTATATCCTCTTCTGAGAAGTGTCTGTTCAGTTCCTTGGCCCGTTTATTGATAGGGTTATTTGTTTTTTTGGTGTTAAGGTTTTTGACTGCTTTATATATCCTAGAGATTTGTGCTCTATCTGATGTGCTTGTGGTAAAGATGTTTTTTTCTTTTATTGGTTGTTCAAAACATTACAAAGCTCTTGACATATCATATTTCATACATTAGATTCAAGTGGGTTATGAACTCCCATTTTTACCCCAAATACAGATTGCAGAATCACATAGGTTACACATCCACATTTTTACATAATGCCATATTAGTAACTGTTGTATTTTGCTATCTTTCCTATCCTCTACTATCCCCCCTCCCCTCCCCTCCCATCTTCTCTCTCTACCCCATCTACTGTAATTCATTTCTCTCCTTGTTTATTTTCCCATTCCCCTCACAACCTCTTATATGTAATTTTGTATAACAATGAGGATATCCTTCCATTTCCATGCAATTTCCCTTTTCTCTCCCTTTCCCTCCCACCTCATGTCTCTGTTTAATGTTAATCTTTTCCTTCTGCTCTTCCTCCCTGCTCTGTTCTTAGTTGCTCTCATTATATCAAAGAAGACATTTGGCATTTGTTTTTTAGGGATTGGCTAGCTTCACTTAGCATAATGTGCTCTAGTGCCATCCATTCCCCTGCAAATTCCATGATTTTGTCATTTTTTAGTGTTGCGTAATACTCCATGGTGTATAAATGCCATTTTATCCATTCATCTATTGAAGGGCATCTGGGTTGGTTCCACAGTCTAGCTATTGTGAATTGTGCTGCTATGAACATCGATGTGGTAGTATCCCCGTAGTACGCTCTTTTAAGGTCTTCAGGGAATAGTCCGAGAAGGGCAATAGCTGGGTCAAATGGTGGTTCCATTCCCAGCTGTCCCAGGAATCTCAATACTGCTTTCCAAATTGGCCGCACCAATTTGCAGTCCCACCAGCAATGTACAAGTGTACCCTTTTCCCCACATCCTCGCCAGCACTTGTTGCTGTTTGACTTCAGAATGGCTGCCAATCTTACTGGAGTGAGATGGTTTTGATTTGCATTTCTCTGACTGCTAGAGATGGTGAGCATTTTTTCATGTACTTGTTGATTGATTGTATGTCCTCCTCTGAGAAGTGTCTGTTCAGGTCCTTGGCCCATTTGTTGATTGGGTTATTTGTTATCTTATTGTCTAATTTTTTGAGTTCTTTGTGTACTCTGGATATTAGGGCTCTATCTGAAGTGTGAGGAGTAAA